AAAAAAAAAAAAAAAAAGACACACCACTTCTTATACATGCCTGACTTCCCAGTCCCCTAACTGGGCTGAGACCTACTTTCAAAGATACAAGCTCATACACCATTTCTTCTTGAAACCAAAGGTCTACAGATGGAGGTTCCTCACAAACATTATCTGACAATTACTTATCCAACCTCTGGAAACCAGCCTGGGGTGGCCCCAAAAAACAACAGTCAAGTAAACCCCCTCGTGAAGGTTCTTGGAACTCCAGGGAGAGCCAAGCAAGCATCATCCCCCATCAAGGTCCCACTAGAGCCTGGGAGCTGACCACCCTGCAGAAACCAGTATCTGCTAAACAAAGAGGTCCTCGAAGGTATCGCTCCCATCATTAAGTAAATTCAAGGAACATGGGCTAATTTGGCCATGCCAGTCTCCTTATTCTTAATACTATTTCAAGTACCAGAGACTATTGACTTGTTATACCTGGTAGACTAGACATTGTGGATGGAAGTACTTACATGGAAAAAGGGACTCAGAAAGCGGGGTATAAGGTAGTGGCCTTAGAAGGTCAGGTAGGGGCAGTAGCCCTCCCAGTGGGGACCTCGGCCCAAAGGGCCAAACTGGTTGCTTAAACAAGGGCATTAAAAATGTCAACAAGACTGAATGTATATACAGGCTTGAAATTCTTCCCAGTTTACTATATTTTGCATGCACATGGGACAATATAGAATGAAAGCAGGGGAGGGCAAGCAACAGAGGCATTAGATATGCCCAAGAAATCCTCCGGTTGCTGGATGCTGTCCAGCTTCCCCAGAAGGTGACAGTAACGCACTATCTTGCCATCAGAAAGGGATGGACAAGGTCTCCATCGGAAATGGCTTAGCCAATCAGGAAGCCCGAAAACTGATGAAAGCCAAGCTGGTAGGCTCTGTTCCTGCATGCAGGCCTGACTGAATACCAGACTCATTATGAGCAAGAGGCAAAAGGATTTAAGAAGGTAAAAAATAAAAAGTAAATAATGACGGACTACTTCTAGTCCTAACAGAACTAGCCCCACTGTCCTTAAATGAGTCCATGAAATGACCCACTACAGGAAAGAGGCCCTGGTGGAATTCATTAGACCTTAACTCAAGGACAAGGGACTAGCAAAAATCATTCAGGCTATTTGCTCTAACTGTTGAACCTGCCTCAAGACCAATCCCAAGACAGAACCAGGACACAGGCTGGCCAGCACCTATATCAGGGGCAACAACCCTTCAAAGATTGGCAGGTTGATTTCATGCAAATGCCCCTGAATTGAGGGCTCAAATATTTGCTGGGTTTGCAGACACCTTTTCTGGTTGGGTAGAGGCTTTCCGTACCTGAACTAAGAGAACTTCAGAAGTAGTGCAAATCCTCTTAAAGGTAATTATCTCAAAGATTGGACTTCCAAAAAGTATCCAAAGTGACAAATACCTACAGATGAAATGGAAATTGCACTCAGCATGGAGACCCCATGCTTTGAGAAAGTGGAGGAAATGAACCATACTTGACAGAAACAAGTGACAAAAGTGTCAGGAAAGTCATCTACATTTGGAGCAGGTGTTGCTCTTAGCCCTGTTCTGAATTCATGTAGCCTCCAGAAGCGGTTTAAATTGAGCCCATTGAAATCATATACAGTAAACCTTTCCAGGCAGCTTCCCTTTTAACCTCCTTCCCGCCCGACCTCAACCAAGATTTGAAGCTACCAAGCCCTATTATTCCCAAACTTGCTCTTCCCAGGCCCACTTCCTCCTCTACAGATAACCTAAAGATCATTCCCTACTCAAAACACAAAAAGACAGACCTGACTTCCAGTTAGAAGAGAAGTGGACCGGGCTTTGAGAAACACCCACCATTCTCAAACTCATGGGCCTCAAGACCTGGACTCACCACATCTAAGTCAAGAAGTACCCTGGAGAACAATGGGCCAGACATTCTTCCTCTGATCCCAAATGGTGATTAAAGCTGCCTTAATCTTCTCTCAGATTTAATCCCCTTTCACTGAGATAAAAATGTTTAGGTATATCTGACAAAGCATGTAATGAATGTATCTGATTTCTGTTTAAAGAGTGATTGTATGTTAAACAAACCTGGTCCATTTCTCTCTAACTGGGAGTCCGGGCCTGTAACACCACACCAAGGACTCCTACATTGTCCCCAAAGACTACGGTACTGAGCCTCTAGGTCTAGTAACTGATTCCCCTCAAGGTATTTGGTAATGTCTAAGAAGTTTTCATAATCGTGTTCCCCCACCCCCGTTCTGAACGGTTTGCACTGACTGAATATTCGGACGTAGATGACTCTTAAAGGATTGAAACTTCTAAACTTTCGGTTAACAACCGAATGTGTTAACTGTTTGTACAACACAGGGCCTCTGTTGCAAAGATAACAAGGTTTAAACTCCTATTTCCCTAGGTTTCTTTCAAACTCCTCCTTTACCAAGTTCTGTTTTGCACATAGGCACTATTTGTCTTCCTCTGTTGACTATCCCCAGCCCCCAGCTGCTGCTGACAGCGACCCTGACCAGTTAAGAAGGCTGCAACCAAAACTTGCTGGAATCTTTTAAAGTTATTTTGCTGAAGAAGAAGAGGGCATAGTTCTTGTTTCTAAAAACATTCTGTGATTGTTGATTGCTAAATCCTAGATACCAGTCTTGTATTGATACCAATGTCTGAATTCACTGAATACATTTCATGCCCCATCATTGCAAACTAGGTGACTATAAGCCATTGATAAGGCACCCTGTTTTTGTCTAAAGGAGTTCTGGTGGCATAGTGAATTACCCAGTGGGCTACTGACCACAGGGTCAGCATTTCAAATCTACCAGTTGCTCTGTGGTTAAAAGATGAGGCTTTCTGCCCCTGTAAAAACCTACAGCCTCAGAAACCCTATATAAGGTTGCTATGGGTCGGAACCGACTCAACAGTACTTAACAACAGCAACAACAATGTTACTAAAAAGGAGCCCAAGTGGAGCAGAATTGTTGGGCTGCTAACTCCAAGGTCATGGGTTCAAACCCATCAGTTTCTCCATGGGAGAAAGATGAAGCTGTCTCCTCCCATTAAGACTGGCAGTCTCGAAAACTCTGAGGAGCCGTTCTACTTGCTCCTAGAGGGTCATTATGGGTCAGAATTGCAGTGGCTTTTTTTGTATGTGTGTGTGTTGTGTTTGTTTATGTGATGTCATTAAGATTTTTGTGTTTTAACTTTTGGGCTCTAGAATTACGATTGGCCATTAGTTCCTGTTCACTCTTAGCTTACAAGGAAGCAATTTCCTTTGCTCCAAGATTTAAAAAGACAGAGAGAGAGAGATACTTACTGGGAGAGTCCAGCAAGTAAGGAGCTTTCTTGAAACTCTCTCTGAACTGAGTTTTATCCATTGAGTACTTAGAGAAGCTATTTCTCAAGTATGTTCTCCTACTAGGCCAAACTGACCCACGATTTCAATCTCTAATTTCATGATGAAACCTTTGATACACTAAGCCACAATGCTATAGGAGACTGTGTCGGTTCTAGACAACATTTCGTTTGTATTTGAAATGACACTCTGCCTTCCAGCTCAGACCCAGAGCAGGTAAGAGTAAAAGCATCCCCAAGGGATTCCGCTTTAGCACCAGGTATGTCTTTATAACTCAGACAAAGTAGAGGTACCTGTTTTATAAATCCATATCTAATCCCATGTCTAAGGGAGAGCCCCAGGCCCACTCTGGGACTGATCCCGGACACACAGAAACCGCTGACACCAAACCTTTCTTGGCAAGAGAAGGCCTGCCGTAGCTGATTAAGGCGCAGTGTCAGTGACAACTCCCTTGGGAGACACACCAAATGCCCATCAGAGACAAAGCTGGTAGAAAATTGCTCAAATGCTACAGAGGGAAAGGAGAATCCATTGGCAAGCTTAGCAGTGAGTTACTGAGGAAACTATCTCAACCCCTGGAACAATGTTCTCTGATGCTTCAGCTTCAGTTTTTTATCCTCTAGAGTCCCCAACCAGACCTCTCACACGCCCCCTTCTTACCCCATGCATGCAGTCTTTTCTTATGTTTCCTCCCTCAGGATAAACTCATTTAAGTAGCCCCAAGGAATAGGTCTTGAAAACCTCCTAGGAGAATGTCTGTCAGACAAAATACCAGAAACTCAGTGACATTTGAATTTCAGAAAAACAAAAAATAATTTGTTAGAATGATCCAAATATTACATCAGACACACTTACACTGATAAATTACTCATTATTGATCTGAAATTCAAATTGTACTAGATGTCCTATATTTTGATTTGCTAAGCCAGCAATCCTCCTAAAGAGGGGTCAATAGGGAAAAGTGAAGGCAGATTATGACTACGCATCTGCTCCCAGGTCTATGACGTACAGTGACAGCTTTTACAGAAAGAGAAACTACACTCACCATAGCGGCACCTGTATTGACAGACTCCATTCTTCCCTCCCAGCAGCTCCTGAAAGGAATCAAAGTAGCTGTTGACGGATTCGAAGCCACCCCGGATGTACCGTAGGCCCCAGTCTGAATAGGATTCTTCTGGGTCAGGGCTGGGGTCACTCTGAGTGAGAGCACTCTTCAGACAGAGCCACAAAATCAAGCAGCCCGTGGCCAGCTTCATTCTGTGGCCAGGTAGATCCTGAGGTCTCTCAGCAAGCCCCAGCCAGTGTCCCTGGACGTCCAGGCACACAGCCCACCCAGCCAGATGTCAGACAGGACTGAAAAAGGGATTATCTGAAATGCTCAATCTGTGTGTTCCCCAGAGGTGGACTTTAAACATAGCTATGGAGGTCAGGATGAGATCAGAGCAATTAGAAAGGGTGCAAAGGTTGGGTGGTGGGAGGGCCTGTCTGAAGGAGAGTCGAAGAGAAAGCACACCTCAAAGTAGGTTCCACAGCACTGGATGAGGGCGATGTTGGCCAGCTCATAGGAGATATGGGCATTGGAGTTTAGAATTATATCAGTGACCAGCTCGGTAATCTATTGATCAGTTACAAATTTGGTTCCTAAGAACCAGCTCCTTCACTCAGAGAATTTGTTCCAAGGTTTTGGCTCCACCTCTAAGCTGTACACCCACAGGTAGTGGGTGTCTCTAAGAGACTCTAAGAGACTCAGGAGGGTGTGTAAACCTATTCCTTACTTATCAGCTATCTCATTATCTGACATGTCACATTTGTGACAACAGTGAAAAATCTACTATCCAATTCAGGAATGCATGCTGAAGCTCAAGCCTAGAACAGTGCTGGCTGTGAGGTTTAGGGTTTGTATGGACGTGTCAGTGGTTGGGCAGTTGTGTAATGATGTAGCATCCTCCATTGTTACGTAACACTGATTTTCACATAACGACCTGGTCTTTGAAATCTATCCAAGTCAGTATATGAGGAGTGGGTATAAAGGGTTCATCACAGCCCTTTCTCTTTGTTCACCATTACATGAAAACCTCCATGGTAGTGAGTTAATTGTGCCATTTCTAACCATCAGCCCAGATACTGTCAAAGAGAGAATGCTCTAAATGTACATTAAGGGGGAGTCCAGATTTGGAACCTCAACTTCTGCCTTGATGGTTACTTGGGTCTCAGTCTAGTAAATCCTTTGATATGGTAAAGCTCCTAATGGTAATCATGTAGGCACCAGGGCACTTTTAACCTTGCTATTTATAGAAGGGAAGTTCAGCAGTATCAGACATGCCAGTAATACCCAATTTAGGATATATTTGAGTTACAATGAACCACATTTATAACTGTACATGTTATTTATCATTAGTATTGTGTACTGCATATAATGTTGCAGTGTGTAATTTATTGATGTTATCATTCTCATGCCAACCTCTAAAGATACATAAAGATTGGATTCATAAAGGTTCTGGTAATAAAAGGCAGTATTATTGAACTAAGAAAAAAAATAAGATATTCAACTTATACCAGAACCAACTTAAAATGGAATTGGAGTCATAAGTCAGGGATGACTAAATACAGACTGTCCAGCCTAGGTTCTGTGGTAACTCTGCCCTCTGATTGTTTTTTTCTTTGAGTTGCTTAAAAATCAGGGAACTTATCAAAAAGACTGAGCTTTTAAGATTGCTGACTGAGATCTAGTGTTTCCTTTGGTGTACCTTTCAAGTTTATAGTTTGCTTCTCACCAAGAAATAAATTCCATCAAGGAAGCCACTTGATAATAAAAATTACACCTTTTTTCATCAAATGAATCCTTTAGCTTCTCTATAAAATGTCTGGAAAATCCTATAGAAAATAATGGATTAAATGTTATCATTATTACTTGGAAATGGCTAAGGACACAGAGTTCAAGAAGAATAGTGTTAAATAGAGTTAAATAAGTGCCGATAGAGTAAAAAAAGAACCCACAGAATAGGGAAAATGTTTGATAATGACGTATCAGACAAAGAGCTACTCTCTAAATTTTACAGAATACTTCACTACCTCAATAAGACAAACAATCAAATTAAAACAAGGACAGAGGACACGAACAGATACTTCACAAAGAAGACATTCAGATGGCCAACAAACATAAGAAGAAATGCTCGCAATCATTAGCCATTAAAGAGATGCAAATCTAAACAATAATGAGATATCATCTTACTCCAGTACTGATAGCAAAGTTCAAAAAAACAGAAAACAACAAACGTTGGTTAGGGTGTGGAGAGACTGGGAAACTTCTCCACTGCTGGTAGGACTGTAAAATGGTGCAGCCAATGTGGAAAACAGTATGGAGCTTTCTCAAAAAGTTGGAAATAGAAATATCATATGACCCAGCAATCCCTCCACTTGGTATAGAGCCTCAAGAAATGAGTTGTGAAATTAATAAATATATATACACCCATATACAAACAATAGCAAACAAATGGAGACAGCTTAAGTACCCATCAACAGAAGAATGGTTAAACAAACATTGGTGTATACACACAATGGAATACTACACCCATTGAAGAATAACAATGAATCCATGAAACCTCACAACATAGATGAACCTGGAGAACATTATGTCAATCACAAAAGGACAAATATTGTATAAGACCATTGTTGTAAAATGTTAAGAAAAGGTTTTCTTGATAAAAGAAACATTCCTATGATGGTTACCAGGGGTAGGAGTGAAGGGAAAACTGTTCTTGGGATAGAAGATGGCACATGTTAACATAGGTGATGGGGAAAGCAATATAAGACAAGAGGGAAGTAGGCAGAGGAAAGATGAAGGTAGCAGCAGACACAAGGAGGAATGTAAGAGTTAAAGTGAATAGAGGTAAATACCGTCAACTGATGGTACATGGAGGGGATTTGCACTCACTGTAATGAACGGAAGTATATGATTCATTGAATGCAAAATGATGATCTCCTCTGTAAACTTTCACTCAATTCACAATAAAAAGGTTTTGTTTTGTCTTTTTAATTTAAAAAAAGAAAGAAAGAAAGAAAAAATAGGAGAGGGGACTTTCTACAAGATGGTGGACTAGGCAGATGCACTATAGGAGCCTCTAGAACAAATATATAAGAAACAAAATAAAACAGACACAGATGAAAATTCTGGCACCCTGAACTTCAGAAGAAAGGTTAGAGAGGTGGATGGAGTGTTTTCTGGGAGGAGAGGCCGAACATGGCTAGTAAGAGAGGGAGTCTGACAGATGAATGGCTGGGAATGATTCAACCATCTTGTAAGCAGCTTTAGCAGCAGAGGGAGGCCTGGCACGGCAGATTCACATGCGTGATGGAAAAGGTGTCATTTCTTCTTTTTGTCTCACACTCCACTGGTAACCAGAAGTGTGGCCAGTTCCCATCCTTATCCATCCCCAGCACAGACCCTCCTCTATGGGAGTTTGAAGCTATGTGCTTGGGAGTCATGCCAGTGTGAGCTATGCCACTTTGGAGCCTGGATTCAGGCGGGATTGACTCAAGGCCTACAAAGTCCACAGAGCCACCAGACCAGCATTTAACCAGTCACCCTGCCCCCAGCTTCCCTGTGGTCCTAACAGACACTAACAAGCTTCATCAAGGGTCCCCATGAACTATTTCCAGAATGAGTGCCCTGAACATAGATAACACCATGGCCAATAGGAGCTCCATATAAGGCCAGGAAGTCAGCTGCCACATCTCTGAACCACAACCACCTCATGAGCTACTTGAATTGCAGGAACCTACCCAGAGATTCCTTCTATCAGGGTCCAACAACTTCACTGTTGGTTTTTACAGATACGACAACTCCATAGTGCTCCAGAGACAACAGACATGTTTGTTTACACGAATAAAACAATAGAATGACTCAAACAAATGACCAAGATGCAGAGCCAGAAAAAGTTTCTGAGGAAGAAAAGGTAATGGAACTAACTGAAAAATAATTCAAAAGAATGATAATTAAGCACCTTCAAATAATCAATAGACAGACAGATGGAGGAACAAGAGGAGAACACAATAAAAACTTTAGAAGAAGGCAGAGGTGGGAACGTGTGGAGGGGGAGCAGCTGAGGACTCTAGATTCCTGGGAAGAAAGGGACTAAGAGATGATGCCAGGAGGCAGACTTGCAGAATACGTCCTTTGGTGGTGTGAATTATTATATATGCTTGAGTGTTTAAAAATAAAAATAAAAACTAGAATAATTCATGAAAACATTATAAAAACAGACAAAATAAGTCTGCAATCAGAAACCTCGAAGATTAATACTAAGATCTCAGAAATGGATAATACATTGTAAGGGCAAGGAATAGATGCGAAGCAATGGAAGCTTTGGTTTCAAAGGGAGCATACAACTCTCCTTAAGATTGAAGGTGTTTGGCAGCGAGATGGGAAAGATGGTGGCGGTCTTAGGTTCTGTGGTAACGCTGACAGCAGAGTCGGGGGAGGACACCTTTAGGAAACGTTTCCGCTTCTACTGCCAGAGTGGGCCCACACAGCCAGGGACGCAGGTCCTGGTGCCCACAAGGTGGTCAGATCTCAGCTAAGTGTGTCCTCAGTCAGTGAGCACAATGCACACAGAGCAGGACTTCAGCCCGTCACCAAGTATCGAGCCTATGGACTTGAAGGCTATCCTGGGTTTATTTTTATCCCAAACCCCTTCCTCCCAGGTTACCAGTGGCACTGGGTAACGCAGTGGCTTAAGTTATATCCCCAGAAACCCAGTGTATGCAGCCTGGACAAGCATATGACTAAAGAAGAAACCCAAGACTTATGGGAGCCGAGTAAGGAATTCCTGAGGTGTAAAGACATGAACTTCGTCTCTCATACTTTGGACATATTGTCAGGAGGGAGCAGTCGCTAGAGAAGGTTGTTATGCTGGGTAAGATGGAGGGTCAGAGAAAGAGAGGAAGACCCCCAACGAATCAGCCAGGTGGCATCACTGATGGCGTCAAGCGTGGCTGCGGTAGTGTGGTTGGCCCAGGATCAGACATTGTTTCATTCTGCTGTGCATGGGGTCGCTATGAGTCAGTTCTGACTCGATGGCACCTGACAACAACAACAACAAAGACGTGAATAAGCGGAGATCCGGAAGTTTATTAGAGAAACCGCATTGGGTGACCTTAGGCTACCATTGTAACTGGGACAGTAAGGGACTGAACCCTCCAGAAAACATGTCCAAAGTATGAGAGATGAAGTCTCACCTTCCTGTCAGAATTCTAAGCACTCTGGCTGTACTTCTTGCAACACAAATTTGTTAGTTGTCTTG